TTTGTAAAAATTTGTGCACAGGGGATCCTGAACATGCATACCACTTCAGTTTGGTGTAAAAATACGTGATACATGCGTAGCTTCATAACGCGCTACGAGCCCCGATGCTGTGACGCTTTCGCCCGTTGTGCGAAAACCAGTAGACCAAACTGCCCTGGGACAAAGTCTCGCTACCTTAGACGAAAAATTACCATCTAACCTCTGATCTGTATTTCAAAGAGTAGAACAGTTAAGGGTGGGTGCCATGATTTGAAGCAATCGCGTTGTTATGCGCTGTCTAGGGATAATGTTTCCTGAGTCTCAAAAAAGTTTTTTCAAGTCAAAAAGGTTCTGCTTACGGCGTATGAAATCTCTTTGAAGCTTGCGAATTCAATAGGTCATGTTACAGCTTTCTAAGGTGATCCGATGTAGCCTCAAACTTAGGGTGTAGAAAGGGTTGCATATTTATTTTGCTCTTGAGATGTGATAAACGTGTGAAGAATCAGCTGTTTTCTTCCTACACTTGCACTTTTTCACTATCCAAACTTTGCACCCATTCGAGATCAATTGGTGCCATGCTTGACCGGAGACAAGTAAAACTCATCCGAGCATGAGCTGGCCACTGCGTTTATTTTTTCTGGGCTGTTATGCGCGCACCTCCATTCCCAACTTGAATCGGGCTTGTAGCACATTGCAAAGGGTTTGGTCAGTTTGATGAACTCTAATCTTCTCCGCTAATTACTGATCTAATTAATTCTTGTTTGCTTGTCACCTATATCTATAAAAAACTTTTGCAAACTGATGTTCTCACCAATTTTTACTGTGCAAACGTCATCACCAAACGTCATCACAATTAGAGAGTTATGTGGAGAATGGTTTGCCTCAGTCGCAGTATTTGTACTTCTCATGTAGCCTTCCTGCACCATCAGGGAAATGTGAATGTAATGGTAAGCTTACCGTTACACTGAGAGAGCACGATAAGTGGTTTCGCATCCTAGCTGAGGCAGTGACTTTCGTCCGTAACTCAGCTTCTAGTCATGAAGTTGTTCTTATTATTCGTGAGCTGCATGCGTCGTTGTTCACATCCATGTGTAATACGGGGGAAATCTCGCTGCCAAAAATCACGACCTGCCACGAACGCGCCCCAGGCCATTTGAGCGTTAAGTCAGCCACATCATTCGCTGCGATTTGGCGATAGGCCTACTCGAAACAACATTTCTTTTCTGGATTACAGTACTGGTCACATACTCCTCCTTCTTCATTACGGACTGGTCGGATGCCGTATATCAGCCAGTAGGAGTGGGCCACACGTTTTGAACGCCGTTTCATCAGCCTTTTGTTGAAAGCGTATGTGGACAAGAAGTGGTCAGAAGAACGAGTAATACGATAGGTCATACTAATGGCTGGTCATGCTCATTTGCTCACTTCAACAACTGGTGCAGAAAGACTTTGGCACCGCGGAAAACGCAAGCCGCACTGACCCGCCCCGACAGTCCGTAATGATGAGGAGTGTATGTCCGTCAATTTTTTCTATTTGTTAATTTGTGGGGTGTTGGTGGTGCAGTGCAAATTTACTATCAAGCTCACAGGAAACAGCAATGAGTTCTTCGAGTCATGGGCCTGCTCTTTGAATCCGTTTTTGAAGTATGTTCTGTAGAAGCTGTTGGCTTCTCATTTGCGTTCACTCAAGTCAAGAGTAGTTTGGGGAAATTAAACTAAAACTAAGGAACTTTAAAAAAGAACAGGAAGAAGCGAAAAAGGATAGCTTTTCGAAATACTGAACGGAATTCAAACTGTGCTTCCGCTCTGATTACGGATTATGTTTCGTCTCGAAGTCACATAGTCGACTGCTAATCTGGATTTTTCGTCTTCGATTTTTGAGCGTGTACGTTGAACACACTCCCTCGTCCGTATAGTATAACTGTAGTTCTCATAACACAAAATCTGCACACCCTCTATATCACCCGCATATAATAAATTCGCATTCGTCTTGTTTGTTCTGTTTGCAAGTTTTTGTCTGTCCGGAAATTCGGTTCGACCTGAAGAACGACTTGGAGAGGTCGGGTCAAGGTGGGGATGGGTAGGGCATGGGACAAGAAATAAAAAGCACACTTGACCTATGGGAAGCCCGCCCACAGTGGGCGGGGCACTCGCCGAAAGTTTGGGGTTCCGCAGAAAAATGTTCATAATTCGCTTCCGGAGCAGCTTAAAGATGGGAAAAAAGGGAATAAGGTTAGTAAGGAGTCGCCAGACTAACTGTGGCAGACACATCCAAAATGGGCGGGGCGTACTCAAGGTGGGCGGTGCTTCTCGCAAAATTCAGTAACCCGGTTCGCGAGAGTGTTTGGAAGTCGCAAAAACTCAGTGTAGAATGTAAATATCTGGCGAATATAGGGCACGCTCAAAGCGTGACCCGCCCACAGTGGGTGGAGCTTGCCCTAAATCGCAGGGTCATTTTAAAAGTTTGTAGCTCGGTTCCAGAACACTCCAGACACCAAAAAAAAGTGGACTTAAGGTCAGCAGAGGGTCGCCGGTGAGGATTGTGGGGCAAAAACATTGTGGGCGGAGCCTGCTCCGAGGTGGGCGGAGCCAGACAAAAAGGTCTGTAAAACGGTTCCAGAGCACTCCGAAGACCGGAATAAAGTGAATTCAGGTCAGCAAGGGGTCGCCGATTGAGAAATGTGGGGTATACATATTGTGGGCGGGGCCAGCCCGAGGTGGGCGGAGCCAGACGAAAATTCTCTAAAACTGTCCCAGAGCACTTCAAAGACCGGAAAAAAACGTGGATTAAGGTCAGCAGAGGGTCGCCGGTGAGGATTGTGGGGCAAAAACATTGTGGGCGGAGCCTGCTCCGAGCTTATGTTGTATACCAGTCGGCTCGCCGGCTAACGCCCACCGGCGTGCCGACTGGTATACAACATGAGACATTTTGTCGCTGTCACATGAGTTCGTAATTATTCACAGTGTATATTATCGTGATCCAGTGGTACTAATGACATCTTAAAAAAACTGTTAACCACTGAAATAGACACCTAAATCGCTTCGATTAAAGTCGAAATGCTAGTCCTTGCTGGAAATCTTTTTCCAAAAAAGATTGATGAGATACCGAACCTTTCATAAGAATGTCGTGGATTGCATGCTGAAGACTGTTTCGTCACTTTCGCAATGCTATGTTCGGAAAGATGAATTAGTCGACATGAATCATTCTTATGACATAGCACCGAGTGAAGTATTGCACAAACGAAATATGTATCGAGGCAGCGGAACGAATTCGCTAAGTACTCCTAAAAAACCGCGTAGTTGTCAATCGCTGGAAATAGAGATCGAAACTGAATGTGAGGGAAGGAGGTGGTCAGTGACTTGACAATGAGGGGAAAAGAGGGCGGCAAAATCGCGAAATAGGGCCGTCTGGCTGGACGAGTTTTCCGGTCCACAGTTGTTTACTCCATGCGAAAAAGCACCATATGGCCACCGCCTGGGTGCATATTCTGTCTTACGGTGGCTGTTTCCCCTCCTACAGCACTAATGCTGTACAGCATAAGGAGCTCCTGCGCCAAATGCCGTACAGCATAGTGAGGGAGTAAAGTTTGGAATATAAACTTTGGAAACCTCTGGCGAAATGCTGCGATTACTGTGAGCCAGCAAATAACAGCAATAATAAAACTGCTTCATCAGTGAATCGAAGCAGCGCCATAAGCCTTCTACCATATGTAATGGACGCACGCCCCGCCCACAACGACAAAAAAAGTCGATGGAACAGAGGGACATTTGGGCAGGGTTCAACATGTCCGTGGTATGTTGTACTCGCTCACAGACGTGTTTCGCACTTCCCAACCGGTAACTCCTCGCTGCCCTACCCACTTTCCCGGCGCCTGGAGTGCTGGGAAAACATTTTCAGGGTTTTGCATTTGGCCCACATCGGCGCACGCTCCGCTCAGAGCGGGTGTGCCTTGCAGCTCTGGAACCAAACCACAATTTTTTGAAATAAGCACCTCAACTTTGGGGGCACGCTTCCTTTGCGAGCGGGTCGCAACACACCACGGATATGTTGAACCCTGTACAAATATCCCCTTGTTCCATCGCTTTTTTTGTGGTCTCCAACTTTGAGAACTGAGCGCTGAATTTTGTAGAGAGGTCTGAAGTATCTGAAGTACATCCTGCCTGGCTCGGGTGTGTCTCTTGCGACTAGTCTGTCCCCAAACGTTTGTAGACTTTCCTGCTCTTAACTCGAATTATGAATTTTCGTTTGCGACACCGCTCCCCTTCGGCGCATGGCCCGCCCGCTCTGGGCGGGGTTTAGCATGGGCGACGTGCGCTCCGTAAATCCTGCTCCTGACCACTACAATCTTGACCCTCTCCAAAGTTGATCTGCAAATTGGCAGTCTCCATGCAAAGAGTATATACGGTATCAGACACTGCAAAAATTCCTTACCTCAGGTTTTCGATGGATTCCTCAGGTTACGCCCACAAAAATAAGGTTTGTGAAGCGCTTAGTTGCGAAAAAAGACGGGGTTGTTTACGCTATACGAATTACAGTGCTAACTATTGAGTTATGAATTAATGCAACTTTTGGGCTGGGAATTCTGCTTATTTTCAGCACTTGAAAGCTAATTGCTGGGATGACAATCACGATTCTTTGAAATTACTGCATAAAATTAATAAAAATAAGCCGCGGTCTTAAATTGCTAGCATATGCTCACATGCGATGCGGTTCGATACAACACTGCGTTGGCAACAGCCTAAAGAACTTCATTCATTTCATTTGAAATTGAAGTAACGCTGGAAAAGTATCCGGGCGGTCGAAAATAATAGAATTCGGCGGAATTTGGCTCCAGTAGCCAACGTAGGTGCACTTCTTTTCCAACGGATGGGGAGGGGGGTGGCCATGTGCTTTATTTGAGTAAGACGGCGGTTGGGACGTTATTGCTGTTTTTAGACATTTGTAACCGTTTTTTGTCCAGCACACTACAGGATAACATTTATCCGATATGGGAGCTCTTCGATTCTAAGCCTCGTTCAAATGAGGTAAACAGCCCGCCCACCCATCTCTGAGAAATGTAGTGTACTAACTGTAAAAGGGGTGAATTTCTCCTATCAACATGTGTGTCGTTCATTCGGTTTCTGTGGTAAAAAAGCGAATTGCCAAAAGAAGATCCGATTTTATGGGAGGGGGGGGGCAGTGGAGGTGCCACCGCATAGCTTCTACTCCATTTCTACTATAACCTCATTCTCATGGACTGCGCCGCGAAGTTTTCTCTTTTCATTGTTTTAGTTTAAATGTCCTCATGAGATTTCTCCAGGGCAAATCAGCAAAGCCCGTGGCAGCATTTATAGCTGGTTTGACGGCTCCACCTGGACGGAGGATGGGACATGCTGGTGCTATCATCAGTCACGGAAAGGGTACTGCAACGGAAAAGATCAAGGCGTTGAAAGATGCAGGCGTGCACGTAGGTTCTAATTTCTCATCATAATAAGAACCTCAGAGGCTGTGTGCGAAGCCGTGTTTATTTACTCTTGTGCTTACAGGTAACAGACTCACCGTCAGAACTCGGCACTACGATTTCCAAGGCCCTATTAGAAGAAGTAGCTCATCTTTATGATTAGACTTGCACTTGCACCTTGACAGGCAGCCCAGCACTTGGTGATTACTAGCCCTAGGCAAGAAATGATTTCTTGACACGCTAATATACGTGCCTCGTTTTAGTTTCGCACTTACTGCAATTGTATTCTCTCGCCTCACCTCTTTGTTGTCAGGTTGATTAATAAATATTTTATCCTTCCTTATATTGATTTAAAGACAGTTCCGGCAGTCAATAGGTCCGCGACTGCATTCTGCATCGTTAACCGCGTTCGCAGAGAGTGTACTACTTTTGTCACTCGAAACGGCGAGGCAAAGAAATTAAAGACGCATGCCTATTAAAACCATTGCACCACGATTACTTTCACTCTGCAAGGCAACGCTTACAAGCGGAGTGCACATAGCGTTGCCTGGAGCGTCGTAGGTTGATTTCCTGTGCTCTTGCCGAAGAACTGGTTGCACGTCGGAATCCTGCTGATTGGGCTTGCCGACATCCGACGGTTTAAGGCGCCAGCTGCACTGCTAAGGGGTCTTCTGTCCGGAGTGTTCCTAAGTTTTCTTACGTCTTTCTCTAGTGGGAATTACTTATGGTCTACTGGTTCATAGTTTGGCCCCTAGAACCCGTAACGCTTGATCGCGGCAATCGTCCTTGAGGTTCATGTAGGAATCCAAATATGCCAACATGACTTTTGGTAATGCATGTGTTATGCAAATGGCGCCTGAATATTCTACTTCGGCATTTTTATTTTTTCTTCTCCGGAGCAGTCATTTGAACTGTCTGTGGACTCTCTATGCCAAGTTAAAGTGCTTTCATGGAGGCGAGGTTCTCCGCACAGCCCTAGGGGGTTGAAGGAGTTTCGGGTGTTGGTGAACCATTTTCAATTCAATTCTGTTTAGCTTACGTTTATCGCAGTTTTGCATAACAAGCCCTTCAAGTACCCCCCCCCCCCTCCGAAGTTTATTAGCACCTCTAGACTTTCAGGGTTCAGGTCTTGCACGGTCATTGTCGATGGTTCCGGACTGAGAGTCTACCCACTTTGAGCAGTCGACGAAAAAAATTTGACTTAGGCTGCGTTTATACTTTGCGGCAGCGTAGCGTAGCGTAGCGTAGCGTAGCGCAGCGTAGCGTAGCGCTTCCAGCGTACGCCAGCGGCAGTGCCGAAGAGAGGATGCATATCGATCTAGCTTCACCAGCGTCACCAGCGGCACGCTGGCGTACGCTAGCGGCACGCTAGCGTACGCCAGCGTTTCTCCAGCGTTTCACCAGCGTTTTGCTAGCGTTTGCAGCGGCAGGGGAGTAGAGACTATGGGAGAGCTGGAGGGTACAAAACACATCGATTGCGCGTCTCTCACTCGCCCTTAGTCTCTACAATGCACATCGCTTCTGCGTCTCCGACGGCCACATAGTCTCTACAATGCACATCGCTTCTGCGTCTCCGACGGCCACATAGTCTCTACAATGCACATCGCTTCTGCGTCTCCGACGGGCACATAGTCTCTACAATGCACATCGCTTCTGCGTCTCTCACGGCCACATAGTCTCTACTCCCTGCCGCTGCAAGCGCTAGCAAAACGCTGGTGAAACGCTGGAGAAACGCTGGCGTACGCTAGCGTGCCGCTAGCGTACGCCAGCGTGCCGCTGGTGACGCTGGTGAAGCTAGATCGATATGCATCCTCTCTTCGGCACTGCCGCTGGCGTACGCTGGAAGCGCTACGCTACGCTGCGCTACGCTACGCTACGCTACGCTACGCTGCCGCAAAGTATAAACGCAGCCTAATCATGGCATTTTAAGATTCTACGCCTGGTAGGATGGTCTCATCTACCTGACTTTTTTTTAAACATTCCCCCCCCAACACAACGGAGGTGCTCATAAAGCATTCAGTAGCCAGGCACAAGTCAGGATTCCATGTTTCAAACAGAGTGCCGCGGTCTTTAAATAAACTCTTAGACTGAATGTTTCTTAAAAATTTCGCTCTCGCGTTCTAGACGGTTGGCCGCTCTTAATGCTACTTCAGGGTCGTTCCAATGGACGGAAACTTCTTGAATTAATAGAGCTTATGTTCATCACTCATAATTCAGTGCTTTATCTTGTGCTCTCTTTCTAATGTTTTTTTCTTTACTTCTCTCGAGATTCGTTTTTTGTTTTCAATCACTTGTTGCTGTTGTTTTTTTCATATAAGCGCGAACCTTGTTCGCGTCCTCTGGTAAAGATAAAGAGACCAGGGCGATACGGAGCTGTCTCCTAAAGGCAGCTGGCCACGTTAAATCACTCAAAGAGAGCCAGAAGACTAATACGCTGCGAAGAGCGAATTCCGCGACCCTGAAGCAGGCGCTGCATAATGCCTTTTCCAAAGAAGGTGCCCTTATAAGGGCCCTAAGCCACAACTTTACGTCCCAAACGCCCACCACGCCCGCCCGCCCACAAATGGACGACCGTCCAGAAGTCTAATCGATCAATTGCTAAGCAAATTAGAAGCGAAGGCACTGGTATGAGACGGCCGTGATGATGGATATATTAGTACATATATGCAGCCGTACCTTCGGTAGCGGTTATTGGCAAGATGCCTCCGGGAAACTCGTCCAAAATTGATTACCAACACAGTGAAAATGGAGGCTTTTTTTGCAGGATTTTGACCGTTTCACTCCGTTCTTTCGCCATTTCCCCACTAGATAGCATTTTAGGCCGAGCACCAAATCATCGTGTCCAACTGCCTTTAAGGCCTCAATTCATCATATCTTTATATCTTTGTCAGCTTACTGTATGTTCAGCGCTGACCCACATTCCAAAAAATGAATGATGCGGCGTCACCTGATGTTAGAATCCATTCTCTACATAATATCAGGTAGACTGCCCATAATAGCTCTAGGGACGTGGACACTGGGGCCGGACAGGTACCGCAGTGACCCCAGCACCAGTGGAAGCGCGCATGCGTTGGTACTTATCAGTTCACTCATCATTCCATACTCTCGCCTTCAGTCTCTCACCCGTATTCTATATGTGGTTTTATCTTTCACTGTTTCTCACGGTTTAATGTTAAGAACCACCTGCAAAATTGAAGGCCTTGAAGACACCCCGCGCTGAAGCAATTCGTAGGCATCCTTCCTTGTACAAATGGTCAGCTCTCAGTCTTTAGGATTATGCCCCTTGCGGCTTCACAGTGTGTAAAGAAGGCGCTGTAGCTCTCAAAACTGGCAGCTCTCACGCCTCCCTATATGCCCATCCACTGAAAAACAAAGGCTGTTCTCTGTCACAAGACTAGTTTTGGCACCGCGGATGTCACGAGTCCACTTCTTGCACCGCGTTTCTCATTTTTTTTTCGTTGTTGGATGACACTAGCATTAGATGACGTGAATAAACGCATTAGCTGAGCAAAGGCAGCTTGATTTCGTTTGTTTTTTGCCTAAATTAGAAGATACGGAGAACTCGTTCAGAAGGGCTGCCAGGTCCTTACTTAGGGTGTTCTCCACTATATTTTACTTTTTTCATTACTGGAGAGTCACTTAGCGACTTTGACGCCTCTATCCACAATTCCCAATCGCGGAGATTGTCTTTAACCAGGATATTTGCAACGGTTTCGCCTGTTTCCTTCTTCACTGGTGAATCGACTGGCACCTATTAGGTCATATTCGAAAAGAAATAACTATGCCGCAGGAATGACCTTTAACAAGCGTTATTTATTAGGTTCCGACTCGAAACCGTCAGGCTCCGAATGCATAATGCGAGAATAGAATCCGATGAATGAGTCGCTGTCCAAATATTAGTTTTCAAGGGATTTACAAGTCACCGCCGCATAAGTGTAGAATTTTATATTCTGGACTGATTTTTCAAATCTATTTGATGTGCGACTCTGATGCCCGCTGCAGCTGGTCATGACACGCGTCGTTTATTGCTGAACGATGTCAGTCAGGATTGCTGTTCATTAATGTCTGAATTTTTGAAAACAATAATGCAAAGCTTAAGGCAGTTGCACGATGGTTTCTACTTCGCCTAAAATACTAGTAAGGGAGCAATATAGTGGGGGAAATGCGCCGCGAAAGAACGGAGTGAAACGGTCAAATCCGGCGAAGAAAAGCCTTCGTTCTCAGTGACTTGTAAATCGATTTCGGACGAGTTTCCCGTACGCATCTTGCCAATCACCGCTACCGAAGATACGGCTGCATATTTGTACCCATATATGCATGCAGCATCACCGGCGCTTCATACCAATCCCTTTGCTTCATAATTTGCTCAGCAAATGAATGAATACGAGCGTCAGAAACGGTCGTCCGTTTGTGGGCGGGCGGGCAAGGAAGGCGTTTGGGACGTAAAGTTGTTGCTCAATAGCGTTATAGAGCACCCTCCTTGGAAAAGGCTTCACGCAGCGCCTGTCCGAGGTCACGGAATTCTGTTAAGCCAGTTGTACAAATTCCTACACCTGTATAGCGATTTATCGTGCCAACTGCCTTTAAAGGTACGATAATTTGGCATAAAGGTCTAAAACGGTAGGCAGGAATGCTTTACAGCGCGTGGGGAAAATGACGAAAAACTGGAGTGAAACGGTCAAAAACCTGCAAAAACCCTTTGTTCTACACGACTCAGAGAGCAGTTTCGAACGAGTCCCGATGGCATCGTGCCAGTAACCGCTACGGTAGGTACGGTTGCACGTGTGTACTCACATATCCATGCAGCACCGCATCCGCTTCATGTCAGTCCCATAGCTTCATACTGTACTTCACAAATGAAGCGATACGAGCGCCAGGTACGGTCCTCCATTTGTGGGGCGGGCGCGGTAGGCCTCCGGGTCGGCATGTTGCAGCTTGACAGGTCTTTTTAAGGGCACCCCCGTTCCTCGAAAAGGCGCTCACGTAGCGCTTCTTAAGCAAATGAATTATCGGAACAAGAACGGAACGCTCGTCCATATGTGGCGGCAGGCGTGATGGGCGTTTGTGCGCGAATATTGTGGCTTGATGGGGCCCTTATAAGGGCACCTTCCTCCTGGAAACCGCTATGCAGCGCCTGCTCCAAGGCGCCAAATTCTATCCTGC